CATTGAGTCCTTTTCTGTCTTCTCGGGGGAAGATGCAAACCCGAATCTGTGCTAAATCTCCTGGTCCACCAGGATCAGGGAAAACACTCTCACTCTCCACTATTCCAGACTCTGAATCAACTGGTACATTTTATAAGACTGTACTGAATTTCAAGGAACCAAGCATTAGCCAGAAAAGTTTTTTTTTCAACAAAGCCCCTTTTATTTACCTAGAAATTACTCTTTATTGATTAAATCACCAGGAATTTTCAGCACAAGATTTAACATCTTAATGACCACCAAGGCCTGGGCTCTGGGGCTTACTCAGCCTCTCCTGGTCCTTAATAGGGTTTAGAGGGAGAGACATCATGAACAGAGACCAAGTCAGATGGTTGCAGGTCCTTCTTTCCCAGTCATTGGACAAGCTGCTCAATTCTTGTCCAGAGCAGGAAAGAGCCAGTACTTCAGAAAACTCTACTAAATAATTGGACATTGCATTATAAGACGTCTCATCAATTTAGATTCATCAACAGTGTTGGTCTAAACCCATTTGCTTCTGATCTAAATTTTTTGCATTTTGCAATTGACTTTGTGTGTGTAACTTTAATAAATAATCTCACTCCTTGTGCAGAAATTAATCAACCCAGTGCAAAGAAAAATCCCTCAACCTGAAACAACCTCATCTTACTTTGGAAAGAGGAAACAGGTTTTTCTGCTCCTCTTCTACCCAAAAGATGAACAAACGTTCCCCCAAAAGTTCAAAATGTTACTCTGGCCTTGGAATGTACAAAGGCAGCTTCTGACAGACTGACTCAAATCTTCTATGAAGGGCAGCTGGAACCACTATGCAGGAAGCCTTCTTTGGAAATTTCTTAAAACCAACTCTTGGGACTCGTCCACAATTGTGTACAAGGGCTCTAAAGTCCAAACAACTGCTATTTCATCTCAGGAGCTAGGTTCAGAGGAGGCATTGGAATTGTCAGTAGCAAGAGCAGTAGCCATGACCCCTCGAGGTAGAACCTCAATAACTCGAGGCTTATCGATGATTCGGGCCGTCCGGTTTCCCTTTTCCACAATGCCAACGATCCATGCTTGGTGACCCTCTCCATACTTGGAAGATTTGATTTCAGAACAAAAGCGAGCTGCCTGTTCTCTTGGAAGACAAATCAGTAGTCCTCCAGAGGTTTCAGCTGAGGTTCCCTGAAGGAGCCCAAACCGCCCACTGGCCTTGCTGATGGCAGCCATCTTGGCAATAATTGGCAGATTATGAATGACAAAGGACACTTCATTTCTTTGTTGTTTTGCAAGGTTCTGAGAGTGTCCTAGGATGCCAAAGCCTGTGATATCTGTAGCAGCATGGGCATTAAATGTGTGCATTAATCCAGCAGCAGTTCTGTTTAGAGTAGCCATATTGAACATAGCTTCCTGATAGGCCAGCTCCACCTCCTCTCTGGAGACCACCATCTTTACCTTATTCCATCTTTCAGGATTATCCAGCCACTGGTGGGCATTGACGGCAACCTGGGTTCCTAAGGGTTTGGTTAACACGAGCACATCCCCAACAACTGCACTGTCGGGCATTATGAATTCATTTGGCTGACATACCACCGTGGCAACGCCACCGATGATAATCCAAGGGTTGACTACTGTTTGCCCACCAGTCACTGCTGTCCCTCCCTCCTCCGCAGCATCCCGAAAGCCTTTGATCATGAGAGGCGTCACTTTTTCGCGTTCCTCATCACTCATACTCTGGCTGACACTCAGTAACATTAACATGTTGTCACATTCAGTAATGCCCATGGCGTAGAGGTCACTCAGCACGTTGGCACAAGCTATGCGCCCCATCATGTAGGGATCTTCCACCAAGGGGTAAAAGAAGTCCGTGGTCTGCACCAGTGACAGGCCCCCATGCCTCAGGGGGATGACGCAGGAGTCCATCCCAATGCCCAGGGCTGGAAAGGTGGGGCTAGGGCCTGACCCGGCTGGCAGGCCGGCTTCCTGGGCCGTCTCTTCCTGGCCTCCGATCGGGCCCCGGCCCAGCGGGGGCCGCACGTCCGGCCGCGTCAGTCCCGCCAGGAGTTTGAGCAGCGTCTCCTGGGGGACCTTGCAGCCTCAGCCCTTCATGCCGGAGAAGCCCGTCAGCCGCCAGCTCGGGCCGAGGCCCAACGCCTGGGGCTCGAAGGGCTGGTAGTTCGAGAAGCTCCGGCCCAGAGGCAAGCCGGCCGAGCCGGAGGAGCCTTCCGTAGCCGCCATGGCCGCCATCGCCTCTCCGCCGGCGCCCGTCGCCGAGGCTTCCGCCATCGCGTCTACCCAGCAGGCGAGATAGAGAAAAAGAGAAGAGGGCCCTTTTATTTCTACTCAAGTGAATACGAGGGAACCGCCAAACATTACCCACAGACTCTCCCCCGCACGACTCACGCAGCTACACTCAGGCCACGCGAGGCCTTCCTGGTCTTCCTGAGGGAGGAGCCGCCGGCTTCCCTATTTATATCCCGGGTGATTGACAGACGCACCATCCAATGACGACTCCGCCACCGAGAGGCGGGCTTCCTTTACTCTATATTGCCAAATGAACTCCCGGCTTGCGAAACTGCTGCAAGCGAGATAGCAGGACGTCACGTGCTTCAGTTCGTTCCCCTTGAAATTTAAATCATCTCTGGGAAAAGGCTTTTCCTTGGTAAGAAAGAGTCACCTTACCAAGTCCAGAATCTTACAGATAAGGGAAGATCGGTCACTCGGCAAACCTCATGACAGAATTGTCCAAAGGTCACTTGATAGCGCACGTGATAGATAGATCCAGGGTAGAAAAACAGCCCAAGGGAAAAACCGGAAAGAAGGAGAAATTGGAAATTAAATTACTACCATTAAGTAAACCGCATCAATAGAACGAATTGTTACCATGGACTTATTTATTTATTTATTTGAGTCGGAGGCTCACTCTGTCGCCCAGACTGGAGTGCAGTGGCCGCTCCCGGCCACCGCAGCCTCGACCCGCTGGGCTCCGGCGATCCTTCCGCCTCAGCCTTCCGAGTAGCCGGAATTACAGGGGCGCGCTACCACACCCGGCTAAGTTTTTGATTTGTTGTAGAGATGATGGCTCACCAAGTTGCCCAGGCGGGTCTCGAACCCTCAGACTCAGACAATCCACTCACCTCAGCCTCCCGAGGATTACAGGCAGAGCCACCGAGCCCGGCTACCACGGACTCTAAAGAAATTTAAGATTCTGAGTTCACACACCTGCAGAGATTCAGACGGTGTTTCTGCCACTAGTTGTCTGTGTGACTTTCCCTCTACCAGCGTTAAATCTTCTGTGGAACAGATTAGACCTAGGTCTAATCTATTCTAAAACGTCTATATCCCTCTGAGTTAATATATATAAAAATCTGAACTATTCATAAAGGACGGTTTGCCAATATTTATTCAAATTACAACTGCCCATAATACGTTTGACCTAGCAGTTCCAGTTCTAGGATTTCTAGTGTACTCACCTGTGTGGGAAAGGATACCCTATTCATTGCTCTGCTGTTTGTAAAATCAACATACTGGAAACAATGTAAATGTTTATCAATTATGATTAAAATACATTCTGGTACTTTTATTTATTTATTCATTTATTTATTTTTTGAGTTGGAGTTCACTCTGTCACCCAGGCTGGAGGGCAGTGGCATGCTGCTCACGGCCACTGCAGCCTCAACCTGCTGGGCTAAGGCGATCCTTCCACCTCTGCCTTCCAAGTAGCTGGAACTACAGGCATGCGCCACCACACCTAGCTGATTTTTAATTTATTTTAGAGGCGAGGTCTCACCATGCTGCCCAGGCTGGTCTCAAACCTGCGGGCTCAGGCAATCCTCTTGCCTCCACCTCCCAAAGTGCTGGCGTTACAGGCGTAAACCATGGCACCCAGCTTGAAATAAATTCTGGTACTTTTATATGATAATCTACCATGTAACTGTAAAAAAGAATGAGAAAACATTTATGTAATTATGTTGAAAACAGTTACAGTCCTAAAAGGCACAATTCTAAATGCTTTATATAGACTAACAAAGTTTCATAAAGACTTTATGACTTAGAGTTCTCTGCTTCACTTTACAGATAAGGAAAATGAGACAGAGAGATTAAATGATCTACTCAAGGTCACAGCCAGCTTAGAGTGGAGCTGGGACATGAACCCAGATAGTCTGCTCCAAAGATCACCAGGTTTTTCTGCCTGTGCTGTCTGTTAAGAGAAACTAGCAAGCTTCAGAAAAATATGTATAGAAAATATACTCTATAGCATATTTCTGGAAGAGTAGTCACCAGACACTGCTAATATTGGTTGCTTGTTGGGAGGGAGTGGAGGGAAGACAGAGATTTTTCATTGTATTATCATTTTCTTTAATATTTGGAGCCTAAAGTTTTTAAATGCTTGAGTGTATTACCTACTTAAAACAAAGTATCCAACCTCAACAGTGAACAAAGCCAGAGGACCCTCATAAGGAAGAACAGGAGATTATACAAGTGAAACAAAAGTAATAAAAAAACAAAAATAAAAACAAAGTAGCTGCTTACTAGAGTATAAATTGATGCAACTATTTTGGAAAAGAGTTTGGCCTTCACTAATAAAGTTGAGCATATACAAACCCAATGCTCCACCATTTCCACCCATAGGGCATTTCCTAGAGAAATGTGCACTGCCATGTACAAGAATGACCACAATATTTCTGGAAGTTAGTTACACAACAGTGTGAATGTGCTTAACACTACTGAACTGCATGCTTAAAGATGGTTAAGACGGTACATTTGACACTGTGTGTGTTTATCACAATTTAAAATATTTATGAAATTGCATGGGAGATACTTATAGATCTTACGATGCATTATTACATTCATTTTTAATATTGCATAATATAGTATTGAGGCATGGAGTGAATTGGAAGCAATTTGAATGTTAGAATCAGACTGAGTTGCAGTCTTGGCTCTCCAAATGACCTTGGGCAGATTGTTTAACTTCTTGGAACCTCAGTTTTATTCCCTGTAAAATAGTTCTTCATCTGGAGAAAATAATAGCACCAAATAGGAATGCTATACGAATTACATGAAAAAAATGTGTGTACATTACTTGGCACAGTTCTTGGCTGATGGTAAACTCAAAATAAATGAGAGAATTGATTTATCATGCAGTATTGTTACTGTGAATGTAGACTGGGCTTCATTTTTTTTTCCTTTTGAGACAAGGTCTTGCTCTGTTGCCCAGGCTGTAGTGCAATAGTGCGATGATAGCTCACTGTAGCCTCAAACTCCTGGACTCAGGTGATCCTCCCACCAAAGCCTCCTGAGTAGCTTTAACTACCTGCCACTACACCCAGCTAACGTTTCTATTTTTTGTAGATACAAGGATCTCGCTATGTTGCCTAGGCTGGTCTTGAGGCCTCAAGCAATCCTCCTGTCTTGGCTTCCCAAAGTGCTGGGATTTCAGGCATGTACACTGCTCAGCCAAGGACTAGACTTTAAATTTTAAAAACTTATAACATCTTGGAAAGTTTTTTTTTTTAATTCATTTGTGTTCCCTAAAAAAAGACTGTAAGAGCAAAACACTGGAAACAACCCAAATGTCTGCTAACTGGAGAATGCACAAATAAATTGTGGTATAATCACACAATGGAATATTATTTATCTGTGAAAATGAATTTCAGGTATAAGCATCATCAATATAATCAAAATCAAAATGTTGGTGGTTTTCTTAAGCTTTGGCCCCCTCCCCTACCTTGGGGAGATGAATCTCCTCTTTTTCTCTCTCTCTTTCTCTTTCTAATTTACTTTATAAATAAACTCTATTTGCTAATCTAAAAGAAAATGTTGGGAGTAAGAAGTGACAGAAGAATAAATTAAGATGTCATTTATATAAAGTTCAATACCAGGCAAAACAATAGATATATACATAAATGATAAAAACTTGTTTTTCCCCTTTTTGTGTTGGAGTCTCACTCCGTCACCCAGGCTAGAGTGCCCTGGCATGTTCACAGCCACCCCAGCCTCGACCTGCTGGGGTTCCAGCAATCCTTCTGCCTCAGCCTTCCAAGTAGCCAGAACTACAGGCATGTGCTACCACATCCAGCTAATTTTTGATTTATTATAGAGATGAGGTCTCACCAGTGGCCCGGACTGGTCTCAAACCCGCGGGCTCAGGCAATCCACTCGCCTCAGCCTCCCAAAGTGTTGGGATTACAGACTGAGCCATTGAGCCCGGCCCATACAAACTTTTTTAAAAGACAAGAGAACAAACACAAAATTTAACATAGGGGTTATTTCTGGGGAGCTAGGGATACATGGGGAGCTTCTGGGCTATGTTACATCTGTTCCTCGGACTGGTGGTGGGTACGTGGTTGTTCTTTAAACCACACATATGTATTTTCCTACTCTCTTTTTTGTAAGTGATCTATATTTCAACATTTAAAAATAAAGTATGCCATATTTCAGAATTAGAAAAACAAAAAAGGCTGGGCACAGTGGCTCCTGCCTGTCATCCCAGCAACAGAAGTTCAAGATCAGCCTGGGCAACATAACAAGACTTCATCTCTACAAAAAAAATTTTTTTAATTATCTAGGCACGGTGGCATGCACCTGTAGTCCTAGCTGTTTGGGAGGCTGAGGTAGAAGGATCATCTGAGTCTAGGAGATTGAGGTTGTGGTGAACTGTGATTATGCCACTGCACTCCAGCCTGGGCGAAAGAGTGAGACTCCAACTCAAAAAAACAAAACAAGCCAAAAAGAAAAAATGGTTGAGTGCAAAAACAGAGGTGGAAACAAAAATCTTTGGAATGTGTCTGACGTCTGTAATGAGCTGTCTGACCTTGAGAAAGTTTTATAGCCGGTCAGCACATTAGTTTCTACTTCTGTTAAGCAAGAGTCATGATCTCTGCTTAGGATCTGGTGTAGGTACCATATGAAAACCTCAACTGTGGAAAGTTTTTTGCAAAATGTTCAGCATATTATACATCTGAAAGATCTTCCTGTCCCTAAGGGGAAAAGAAAAGCATTCTATTACATCTGTAATCACCTCACCTGAGTTAAAAAATGACTAGGTCAGGTGCTGCTGGTTATACACTCTCTTAGTTCTTTGGACTTTTCCCTCTCAGCATTTAGCACAATTTGAAATTCTTTATTCCTGTGATAATCCCATGACTATCTGTCTGCCCCTCTAGTGTGTAAGTGCCACAGAACAGGGACTGTTCTGTCCTGTCCACCCTTGTTGCCTTAGCACTATTCATAGTAATAACATTGGTTGAGTGACTAAATCATTTTATACAATTAAACACATTTTTTAAGGTTCTGCAAAGCAAAATAAACCATCAAGAGAGTGAGGAGACAGCCCACAGAATGGGAAAAAATATTTGCCAACTGTATATCTGACAAAGGCCTCACATCCAGGATCTACAAAGAATTCAAACATGCTGAAAGGAAAAAAATAAACAGTTCCATTAAAAAGTGGGCAAAAGACATGAATAGACATTTTTCTAAAAAGGATATACGGGCAGTCAACAG